CGGGCAACGATTGCGATGACGAAGGCCCAAGTGGGTTCTTTGGTGTGGGCGGTAGTCGCCCAATGCACGCTTGGGAACTCATTTTGGAGTATTACTACTTGAAGAATGGCGACGACTTCAATAATACGCCGGCGCGCAAACTTTCACAAAGTTTCAACCTGGATATAGTTGATGCACAAACGATTACAGCGAAGCAGAGTTTCCTCAGCGCGGTGGGTATGATAATAGCCATGCATCGGCCCTACAAACGTAGCTACAATGCACATTTTAAGGCTTTCGTATGTGCGGCTTTAAAGTGAGTAGAGCAGATTGATTCGCATATTGTTACATATCTTTCACTTCAACGATTCCTTATACTTACAGCTGCCATCAGCTAGTTGAATGGCTGAATTTGATATTCAGCTGCAGCGATTTGGTCGACACATATTACACCGCCAACAGCTATGTCGCGCGCACTGGTTTTCGTGATTCGCTGCGCTCAATCGATTCACTCACCAAATACGATTTTGATTTGCCTGTAGATTTGGCAATAAGACATTTTAGAAATCTTTAATTATGAGCTAACGTACGAAATTAAATATGTAAGCACACATACAAAATCCGCAAGTCAACTACTTTCATATCCTAACATAAAGTAATATAAAATCCAATGTACTTATATTCTTATGCAAACTAATCGAATTTCTTCCAAATTAGTACGCGCATTTATAATGTGTTTTGCTCAAATATTCGCGCAGTACGAATATTTGTGTATGTCAGTGTGTAATTTATGGTTTGATGATGTGCTGTATAGAATTCAAAAGGAAACAAACCGACTCTAGTCCATTTTTATTCTAGTCTAATATCAATCTTTATATTGTAAAATGTATGAATGTAACTATTTAATAACCAGATATTGCCTAAGTAGCACTACATACATACATACCAGTATATGTACTAAGAAACTAAGCCATGCATGCTTTTACTTTTAGATATGTATGTATGTACATGTTATGCATACAAACTCTCATGGTGGTTGCAGGACTATAGCCAATTGTCGCTTGGCGCGCAATACCTCATATCTGCCAAATGCAACACCGCATACGAGGTGGCGTAGAAAAAAATGTATTTTGGTTACCCTGTTTCAATGCTTTCCTACTTATTAATAGTAAATAATTATAGTAGAAGCTCATATTTAGTAAGTTTGGTTAGCAGTCCATTCAAACATTTTGAATTTTCGGACTATCTTCTACGTGGTATTGCATTTGGCGGATACGAGGTATTGGGCGCCAAGCGACGATTATCTAACACTGTCTGAATATCTGGCTGTAATTAGTTTGCTTGATTTATTCCTAACTGAAAATAAGTATGCAAAAATTAATAAGTCATGATACCAAAGTCGCTCTGAAAAAAAAACTACGAAATATCAAGAAATCAAAAAATATTTAGAGGTCGCTCAAAGAGCTCAAAGTTTCCCTTATATTTTATATGAAAAATAAAATCGTGGAAATTGTATAGAACTCTTGAAAATCAATAATTTTCAAACGGCAAACTCATTTTCTTCGCAAAAGTAATGTTTGAAATATTTTTTTTTTAACTCCCGAGATCAATTTTTCTCAAAAGCTTTAAAATACCGCTTTTGCTATCTGTTTTCGTTCTTATGATATTTAATTTTGTTACCAAGTTAAGTTTTCACACTCTGCGACGTACCTGTTTTTAGATGTTCCTTGGAGGGATAAAGTTTAGCGGTGAAAATTTGGAATTGAGGGCAAAAATATTGGTTGTTGCACCACGGATGAGTCCTACATGTAATCCCAAATACAAAAAAACCCACTGTAAACATATACATAGGTGGTAGTATTATGCCGTACAGCTATTTTTCGACCAATTTATCGTATCGACAGAACACGTGCTGCGTTCGATTTCTATCGTTGCGGAGAATATGCCCTTCAGCCCTAAGCACTTCACTAAGTACAATACATATTCACCCTCATTGCGAGAGTCGTGTCGAATGCAAGTCGTTTTTTCGAGAGTCGAATCGTATCGAAAATTCCACGTCATTGCCTAAAATCTCCACTCGACTAGTGGATTAAAACGGAAAAACTTGGCAGCACTGTATAGTTTTCGACGATTTTGGTCGGTTTGCTTATTTCATTACGACAATAGACAATGCTACTGTTGTCGAGTGGTACAATTTAGCCTAATTTACGACTTACGTAATGAGGCTGATTGGTTTCAAACTAAAAAAATTCAAGTAAATCAAGTAAATAAATTATAGTTCCAAAATCAAACAATATTCAATCAGGGTTTTCCATGTTAAAAGGGTGGCAATGGGTGTAGTATTTATTTGCTATACCTTCGATTCTAAAATATATAATAAGCAAATAAATTATGCCTACATATCGATGCCTGAGTTGAAGATCGACCTGTCTCGGCAGCCGGTTCGTAAACGCCCTATCTCAGAAAACTTTTCAAGAACGCCCTACTCAGAATTTGATTGAAAAACGCCCTATCTGTATGGCGACTGATGTCTAGTTGCTGGTCTATAAGCCGTGGCTACCAGTATCGTATTTTGTATTGTGTATAGCAATTAATCTCAGTATACAGAAAAATGCAGACGACATCCGAATTTACTTTTTTGACATGCACATTTCGAAGTAATTGGCAACTTTGCTCCAATGTGTTTAACAATTTATGCAAACAAATAACAAAATCGTCTTAAGCAGCAAATTGCCCTATGTATTTACTAGACTCAGTAGCCAATATTCAATAGTCAGTTGCCATATGTACATAATGCGAATTTTAATATATGGTTGCCCATCGGCTATCAGTCGCCATACAAAATAGGGTCATTAAATTGTATGTATAGTATGGCTGAGTTTATGGAAGCAAGTACATAATTAATTATGACAAAAATGTTCCATCTACATATGTAGTATGTTTATTAATAATTTATGTACTTTTTGCCCAATATTCTTGCATATAACATACAAAGTACATATTCCACATAGGAGATTCGCAAAATGTAATAAGCGACGTATTGTTAAACAAATTTACAACGTTTTAAAATATTTCTTAATGATTCGCAGCAACAAGAAAATATATTTAAGCCTTATGAAATATACATATAAGATTACGACAACAGGAGATCCTATGACATCTTGTGAATCATCTAAGTATACATATGCATACATTAATTTCTGAATGTTATCTACTTTCCTGGTAAATGCTAGAATTAATTAGAGCTATCACAAGATGTTAAGAGAAGTGTTGCCACAGCGACTGTTATGACAGCTTTTGAAACTCCTAAATACAACAACAACAAAATAATTATACAAGTGTACATAAATACATATGTACATACACATATGCATGCGTAATAAATTAATGTACATACATACATCTATACAAACATACATACATATATTATACATAGTATAAGTGCATAATTAAATAAAGCAAATAATAAACTTCGACAACTATCGCTAAACAATTTTGTTACTCTACCTACATATGGATGTATGTACGTGATGCATCTTAGTGGAGCAAGAAGTTTGAGCAAATGAGATGACAAGCTAAAAGGCGGAAGACCGCCAACAAAATTGCAAAAAATCAACGAATAGTCCTAGCTACCTACCTGTACCCAGACATGGGCGTAGTGCACTAAATTTCAAGTACCACTAATATTGAATATAGTGAGGCTGTACCTCAAAAATGTACCGCTTTTCACGAAATTTTCATGAAAGCGCTTGAATTTTTTTAGTTTAGTCTAATGCAGTCTCTGTAGTACATAGTACATACATATATATGTTCCCTTTTAAGGACTGTACTCCGAAAGTATACAAATTTCAAAACTTTTTTTTCAAATAATGAAGACTAAAAGAGGTAACTTTTTATGATCTCAAGGGCAACAATTTATTTGGCCAGCGTCCGTACTAGTGAGGCGCGAAAGCTGCACAACTTTTCAGCAGAAAAGGGCAAGCGTGTCATGAAAATTACAATTTCTCTAAAACCAGTAAATTTGTTTACACTTTACTATTTAACACATCTTCAAATACCAACTTTAATGTAGAAAATTAAAAAAAAAATGGAAATAATCATAGGTATTAATATTTAATTGAACGTTTTACCTCAGTTGCCGTATGTGGGTAAAAAAAAAAAAAATAGCACATAATGACAAATCACATTACTGCCACATATGTATTTATGACTGGCATATGTACACTAGGGTGGTCCAAAAATGTATGTGAAAAAGTAAAGTCGGAATTTTTAAGCTCTCACGCCCTAGGATTGTTCTATACCGCAAAAATATACCTCTTTTTTTTGAAATCAGAAAATATTTAGAGGTCGCTTAAAGCGCCCAAAACTTTCTATGTATTTTATAGGAGGAAAAAAAACTTTTCGTAGAAATGGTATAGAATTCTTGAAAATTCTGTTTCTCTGAGAGGAGATTCGCAATTATAATATCCAATTATTTATTTAACCAATTAGTAACTATATTTTATAGATCCACCAAAATCCCACGAAAATGCAATGGGAGATAAATAAAAAATCTTTAGTATTAAAAAATGGTTAAGTAAACATTTAGTTAGTATTATTGAAAGTATCCTGAAGAGAACCAGAGTTTTACGATCGAAAAATATTGATTTTCGAGAATCCCATACTATTTCTACGAAAGACCCCTAAATATTTTTTGATTTCAAAATTAAAAAATAGGTGTACACTTTTCTCGATATAGAACAATCCTAGGGGGTGAGAGCATTACAATTCCGACCTTACCGGTTTTGCACCACCCTAATGTTCATACATACATATCCATATATTTGCTTGCAACACGGTGAACTTGTAAACTCATTATGGCTTGCAAGAAACACCTATGACTTGCATCTCAGCTAATTTGCATCTTCGGCAGACCCAGTTTTGATGGTGGAAAGAGTATAAAGAGAATGCTATCCGAGAGTTAAAATCAGTTTCATGCTGCAATCCAAATTTTGTACACATCAAGAGTGAGTTGGTGTAAAATGTTTTCAAGCAGACGCTGCATTTTAAAATTTCTAGTTCCTTTGGTAAGTGGCAACAATTTTCATTCTTCACAATATATTTATATACAAAATTAAATTTACATTTATTTAATTATGTAGTTTCTTTGCTGCTACATCGCAGCGCGTCCATCTTTTCGTCATAAACGCAGCATCTATGGCTTAGACTCAACTGGTCCTTATTTACCGCCTCCATTCGGGCCAGTACCATTTGCTCCCTTTGGCTTGGGTTCTCCATTTGCACAACCGCCTTTCGCTTTGCCCTATCATTCGTATGCGCCACCGCCCTATGCCGCACCGAATTCGTATCCTTTACCACCATTTTATCCACCGCATCCCTATCAAAATCCAATATTTGCACCATCATTTCCGTCGCCACTATATCGGCCACCACCATATTTTCCACCTGTTGTCGCACCTGTAGCACCGATTGGTCCACCGCCAGCACCTATCATAGTGCCCGCAAAGACAGCTGCAGCATTGAGTATTGCTTCAATAATTCATGCCTTCATTGCCCGGAAATTCTATCCACCTGTGCTGCCAGTGCCTATTGCTAGACCGGTGCCATATCCGGTCGCTGAGAGGGTAAGTAGTATGAGTCAGGGTTCTCGGAGTTGAGGTGCTCTTACATATGCGATTCAGTTTTATTAGGTACATTACTTGTTGTAATACTAAAAAATACACAGAAAAAAAGTTTAGTTACGTGAACTGAATATATAAATTTTTCTTTTAGATACCATTTCAACGGCATGCTCCTGCAACAATTTTACAACCGATTTCTGAAAAAGCAGCTGTTCACAAAACATTACCTGAAAACATTTGCATTCAAAATATATCCGACATAGTATTGGAAAACTCAATTTTCGAAGATATAACGTCTACAACAGAGGCACCATGGCAGCCTACACTAATCCCAATAAGCCAATAATCGGCACACTAGTGTTACTTATATTTACAACTTTTCGAGTCTCTCTTAAACCTTATTTTAATTCTCTGTTGTTAAGGTTAAAGCCGTTAAACTGAAAGTGAGTAGAGAATTATTACAATAAAATCAAACGGCATTGTCCTTAAAAATTGCAAGTGCTTGTGGTTTACCTTGTCGTATACTTAGTCTCCACACATCGCCCTGGTATAACTGTTCCAGCACCTACCGGTAAATGAGCTAATCAAACATATAGCTTGTTCTTTCACCAGAAAATTCAAGCTCGGCTTCATGGAGGGTTTGACGTCTAGCGGTGTAACAAAGCATTGAAAGCCGAAATGTCTGGGTCTTGAATTTCGGCTCATCGCACTAAAAACCCACCCCGCTGAGTTTCCTTTCTTCCGTGTAACCACCGTTAGGTATTACTTCGCGGAGGGTAAGCGGTATATTGCCTTTCATTGAATATCTTCGGAGTTGTTCGACTTGACACAATTTTCTCAGTGCTTGCCATATGACAAACGACGGACCAGTTTTCTATTGACTCTGGATTGATATCTACAAGGTGTTCAACCATAAGTGGCTGGATGGAATGATGCTCCAGGTAAAGCAAAGCATCAAGTACATCGGAATAATACTCGATAGTAAGCTGTAGTGGCGTCTCAATGTTGAGAAGAGGGCGAAGATGGCCTCCATGGCATTATATGCATGCAAAAAGATGGATGCTGGGCTGTACCTGGGGCTTATCGCCTTCTCTTTCTCACTGAATCTTCACGGCGATATAGGGCCGATACTTATTCATGGGTTATTGGTTTGGTGGGCTACAATGGAGAAGAACACATTTCTTAAAAGAATAGAAAGTGTATATAGGCGATTAACGATCGGAATGCCAAGGGCAGTTAAGGCTAGGACAACATCAACGGCACACCTTGTTGTATCTCTTGGCGGCGGACCTATCAGCCAAGAATATAGCGTAATGAACTGCCACCGGGCTCAATGCTACCAAACAGTTTGTGTGAAGGATCCACGGGCACAGTAATATAGCGTCAATTTTACTCGGATGAAATGACAAGATGATCTACTATAGAGGTTGAAGGCTCGGTTGGCACGGTGAATATCTGTACAGACGGGTTAAAGATGGAGGAGGGCGTAAGAGGGCAGTCGTATACGCGGAGCTCGGCTACAACAACTCCTATAAGCTGCCAAACTACTGCAGCATTTTCCAGGCGGAGGTATTGGCTATAAGGAGGGCGTGGGAGCTACTGAACAGCAATCTAGCAAATAAGCGGGTGAATCTCCATATCGACAATCAGGCTTCGATAAAGGTGCTACTATCGCACAGCACTTCCTCTAGAAGTGGGGCATAGTGCAGAGAAACTCTGGATTTGCTATAGACTGGTACTGACGTACATCTGTACTGGGTTCCGGGACACAAAGGGCTCGTGGACAACGAGGAGGCCGACGGACTGGCCAAAGAGGGAGCTTTGTTGGAAACCATGCTGATAGAAGAGGTGCAGATTTCCGTCCATGAGATTAAACGGGAACTCCGCCTGCCCCCCATTCGGAAGGTGCGGAATGCGTGCGGCAAAATGCAAGGCTGCAAGGTATCCAGGATTATGTACAGAGCGTATGACATGAAGCTGACGAAATCTCTCCTTTGCCTACTGGTATCGCATGCCTTTAAACTGGCTCTGACTAATGATAAGATCTGTAGAAGATGCAGAACGTATGAGGAGACAGTGGCGCATATCCTATGCGAGTGTTTTGCGCTTAGCAGACTGCGGGTTAGTCTACTGGGAGCAGGTTTTTTACCCAATCTGGAAGCCGCCGCCAAGGTAGGGTCTAACAAGATGTTCCATTTTGCCAATCGGACTGCGATGTTCTTAAAAATTACGCCTGATATGCAGTGATTAGCTGTCTAAAATGGTCGTAGGGTATCTGGTAATGCTATAGACCTTAATAGTCTCAGCGAAGCCACGCGGTGGCTGGTCAGCTTACTAAACTTAACCTAAATGGCCTCCCCATATTTATGCTCTACTCGTCCCTTTGGGACTGAGTGCCTCACAAACTCATGCCGCTTCTGGAAAGTGGTCAGATGATGGACAGACAAAAACTGATGCGATTGAAGTGAGCGATTGCGGAAAAACTGTTTTTACGGGAAACCAGTAATGAGTCATTGATCTATCACTATGAAAATGTTCGGCCGCATGTGCACAAGTCGCAAAACTTATGTTGATTTACCAAATGGGAAGTCCTAACCACTAGTCTTTTAGCCAGACCACCTAAATCCACTAAATCCTAAATTTCAACCTTCTTAGAAAAATAATAAAAATTCAATAAACTTTAACAATTACACCCAAAAAATTTTAACTTTTTATAAAAAATTTGTAGAAAAATTTTAGTAGGTAAACTGGCAATTTTAAAACGCTAGATAATCGCGTTGATTTTTAAAAATTTTTACTTTTTTTTTGCTGACGGTGCTAAGCATTTACTTTAAAACTACTATTTACAGGTAGATATAAAAACATATGTTTATTCGTATTTAATTTTGATTGCCCTTAACGCGGGCACATCGCCTGCTTGCCACCATCGATAGGCACTGTAGCACCGGTGATAAAGGACGCTTCGTCACTAGCCAAAAAGGCAATGGTATCAGCCACTTCCTTTGCTGTGCCCACACGTCCAAGCGCGTGTGTTTCTTTGGCGCGTCGCATGTAATCCGCATAAGCCTCCTCGGTCATGCCACTGCGTGCATGAATATCGGTGACGACTACACCAGGATTCACAGCATTGACACGTACATTTTTCGGCGCCAAATCCAAAGCAATACATCTAGTAAACTGATCAACAGCTGCCTTAGAGGTGCAATAGCTTGAAGTATTTGGGAATGTACGCAAGCCGGCGACGCTTGACACATTAACGATATTGCCTTGTGTCTTGATTAGATGGGGGGCAGCCAGCTTGGTTAGCAGAAAAATAGAACGTAAATTGGTATTGAGCAGTGAGTCGAATTGCTCCACACCAATATCCAAAATGCTACCGTAAGCTAGAATGCCAGCGTTGTTCACCAACACATCTAATTGTCCGAATTTCTTGACTGTTTCATTGATAATGCGTTCGGCATCCACGGTGACGTCGGCAGCGATGAGTAGCAGCTCAGCGTTTTTGTTGGCTGCCTTACAGGCGGCTTCTGTAGTTTGAAGATTCGACAAATTGCGACCGACGAGCACTACTTTAGCGCCACGTTTGGCAAATGCTTCGGCAGTGGCGGCGCCCAGGCCTGAACTGGCACCTGTTACTATCACGACTTTACTGTTAAAACTCATTGCGCCAACTGTAAAGAGAGAGCCAGTTTTCGAAGTATTTATGTCTCTTTGCTGGAGAAAGGGGATTTTTTGTTATAACATTTCTATGCAAGTGCATTAGGATGGTCCAATAAAAGCTAAGTCGAAATTTTAATGCTCTCATCTCCTATGATTGTTCTATACCGAAAAAAATGATACCCCTGTTTTTTTTATTTCGAAATCAAAAAATATTTAGAGGTCACTCAAAGCGCTCAATGTGTTCAATGTATTTTATTTGGAAAAAACACTCTTTTCGTAGAAATGGTATAGAATTCTTGAAAATCAATAGTTTTCGATCGGAAAGCCTCATTTCTCTTCAGGAGACTGCCAATAATAATACCCAATTGTAAATTTATCGATTTTCTATTATAAACTGTTTTCTATAGGACCCCGAAAAATCTAAAAAAAAAAAATGCAATGGGGACACATAAAAAATCGTTAGTATTAAAAAAAGGAAAAATAAACAATTGGTTATTATTATTGGTAGTCTCCTGAAGACAAGCAAAATTTTCCTATCGAAAAATATTGATTTTCAAGAATTCTATACCATATCTACGAAAACTTGTTTTTTCCCATATAAAATACATGGAAAACTTTGAGCGACCTCTAAATATTTTTTGATTTCAAAATAAAAAATAGGGGTATATTACTTTCGGTATAGAACAATCCTAGCGGGTCAGAACATTAAAATTCCGACTTTACCTTTTCAAATGCATTTTTGGACCACGCTAATGTGCATTCAGCGGGTGAAAAGATAAGCGCAGATTGGCTGTGACACTCATCGAAATCGTGTGTCCTACACTTGTCAGTGCTGGGGTCTAGCGATAGTGATGTTTATCGTATTATTTTGCGTGTGCAATAAGATTAGGCATACAAGCGTGCATACATATATTGAAATTCCAAAATACTCGACACACGCTTAACAAACACTAAACATGAGTAGATATTAAATAAGCATGTCATTGAGGAAATTTTAATGATGAGCAAGAACAGATTTTTCTAAAAAAAAAAACGCGAAAAGTATTCGAAGACCTAAACAACCCCAGCAAGTAGGACCTTTTATAGACGCCACGGATAGATTTTGGAGAGAAAGATGGTTGAACTTCCCAAATGTCAAAAATGGCAAAAAACAAACTTTAAATACAGATAGTAAAGAGCTAATATGTAGAAATATTAGTTTATTCTGCACGGTTCGAGATTCATTCCGAGATATGACGATGAAAAATCGGTTTAATTAATTAAAAAACGAAAAAAAATACTACTCGATTGTTTGCAAAAATCTAAAATGAATTGCATATTTTTCTTCCTGGTCTTGCTTCTACGAATTCGTATTAAATTCGTTTTAATGCAACATTAAATGCTTTCTCATTGATGTTTCTTATTCGCACAGCAAAGGTTCTCTTTGTGAGAAACAACAACGGGTACTTTTCTTTCTCATTATTATTTTTTTACCGCAAGATAACACCAATCTATTGATGCTATTGTTTAATATTTTACTGGAAGCATTTAGCTTAGAATGTAAATCAATCCATACATATAGTTATTGCGGTTAATGTGCATTAGTGTTGGTCGAAATTTTTATTTTCCTTTAATCTTTTGTAATATGTAGTTAAAAGATGTTTTTGATGATGTAAATTACAAGCTTTTAAAATATACATACCTTTTATTTTAAGTGCAAGAGCATCGTTCTCCAGGTGTAACAGAGCACACTGCTAGGTAATACTAATTCTTCTTGACTCGCTTCTCGACTACACACAGTTGACTCATTCAGAGTCATACCAGAGTCTGCAGTTTATGCTGTTTGAAAAACGGAGATTACCACTCATTCACCTATTAAGTAGAAGCAAACGAAAGGAAAAAAGCAAAACTTACGAAAAAATCTTGCCGATGATCCCATGTCGGAATTATTTGAACTTCTCTGAGTTCTTAACTACATTTATATATCGACTGCCAGTTCGGAGACGCCCTATCTCAAAAAACTTTTCAAAAACGTCCTATTTCAGAATTTGGTTGAAGAACGCCCTATTTCAGAATTCGTTTAAAAACGCCCTATCTCAGCTTCCGATTCAAAAACGCCCTATATCAGCACATTTTCAATACATTTTGGGCATTTGGATTGGGATAGGGCATTTTTGAATCGAGTTCCGAAATAGGGCGTTCTTCGACCAAATTCTGAGATAGAGTGTTTTTCAATCAAATTCTGAAATAGGGCGTTCTCGTACAGTTTTTTGAGATAGGGCGTTTTCAACCTGACTGCAGAGATAGGTCGATCTTCCACTCAGCAGACGATATGTAGGTTAATGCATATGCATATGTTTAATGAGATCAACAAAAATTCAGTAGTCTTGGTTTTCAAGGAACGACGTTTCGATAAAAATAATTAAAAAGCAAGTAATTTTTAAGCAAAAAACAAAACCGACTTCAAAAAAATTATATACATATATATATATTTCAGGATCCAATGATCGGATCTAAACCAGATTAGTATGTGACCACCTCTGAGATACTACTTTTTCGATGCAAAAAGAATTGTGGAAATCGGTTGACGTGGAATCTGTCCACTTACACAGCTAAGATCATGCAATTTTGCACACCTTTAACTCATCATCAACAGAGAGTTTAGATAATCAAAATCATCAGACTGGGGCTACAATATTCATGAAAGGAATAAGGACTTGGCATAGCATTTTCATTACTTAGACTGCTTTTACACAGTTCAAGTATTGAATTCAATTATGCTCGCATATGGAAGAGAGGGGGAAAGAAGAAAAGGGACGAGTACACATGCGTCTGTACCGTCAAATCGTTTCAACTTTCTTGCTTTGCTTTTGATATTTTCGTTGCATCCATTTAAAGAACCAAAAACTTGAATTCAACAGAATTGAAGCGTGTAAAAGCAAATAGAAAACACAAAAGAGGATGAGCAAGATTTACTTTCAAGTACTTGAATCATGTAAATCGGGTGTTATTTCCGCTAATGATTGGTGCTGCACCCTAATGTATTTGTAACAATTTGTCAGTAAAAGCTTAAACAGACGGCAGCGTTGATCCGGACTAACTCGGACTTAATCCGAATCAACTGCAGTTAATTCCCGAGTTGATCCGGATCAACGCTGTCGTCTGTTTATGCTTTAACAGCTGATTCACTAATCATATCTAGCTACTCTTTTATATATTTAAGCCATGATTCAGCAGCACATGTATACGACTGAAGACTCACTCTGATCTAAGCCAATCGATAGAAAGTTTTTTTTAGTCCCACTTGACAATGTGTTTTCACTTATTTGACGACAAATGCCATTAAATTTGACATAGTTAAAACCAGCCTTGAGGAATGTTTTTTTGGTATTGCCCAAAAAACCTATTTCATTAAAATTTCTTAAAGCTAGTGCAAGGTTAGCATTTTCGCACTTCTTTGCATAATTATTTCATTGAGAGCGATTCGCGGAAGTTAAATTTACAAGTTACTGGATATTTTTTTTCTTTGCAGGAGAATATACGAACAAACCTAATGGTATACATTTGTACATAAATAATAAAATTTATTTAAGGTGGCGAGATAGAAAATACATAATGAGCAGTTAAAAACAAATCTATATCTAAATTCCCAATCAACGCGGACACATTGCATGTTTGCCGCCATCGATGGGCAATGTTGCACCCGTTATAAAGCTGGCGGTATCACTAGCGAAGAAAATAATAGCATCGGCCACTTCCTTGGTTGAGCCTACGCGACCCAGCGCGTGCGTCTCTTTATGGTGCTCCAAGTATTTAGCGTACTCCTCTGCAGACATGCCAGAACGTTTATGGATATCTGTTACCACCACGCCCGGATTCACAGCATTTACACGTACTTGTTTCGGCGCCAAATCCAAAGCAATGCATCTGGTAAACTGATCAAGCGCTGCCTTCGAGGTGCAATAGCTTGAAGTATTCGGGAATGAACGCAAGCCGGCGACACTGGATACATTAACGATGTTGCCTTGTGTTTTTACCAAATGTGTTGCGGCGAATTTAGTCAAAAGGAAAACCGAACGTAAATTTGTATTTAAAATGCTGTCAAATTGCTCCACAC